AAAAACCAAAAAAAAAAAAAAAAAAAAAAAAAAAAGGAGTGCAATGCTTATATATTTCTTACTGTCTACATATTACTGTATATATAAGCAATGTGAAGACAATTTATCCATTTTTTTAAATTATCAGACAGAACTAAATTCCATCCTTTTTCTAAAATCTCTCAAAAGAGACCACGGTATGTCTATTTTGAGGGACTAACATATATGATTTAGCAGAGTTTTTGACTATTCACCTTGGATAATTTCCAATACTGAGGCTTAGAATCTAAGGACTAGTTAAGAGTTTCAACAAAGATATTTGATATTCCCACACCCATTAAAAATATCTTATTTCTCTATAAAAAATAAAAACCCATGTGTAGCTTCAAATTTCTCACTTAGGAAGCTGTAAAGAATTATTTTTATACCATTTACTTTCATATGATAAAACTTAGCAAACAACGTATATATGTATGTGTGAATACACATATATGTATTTGTATACATATTAATAAATGTATAAGAATGTATAGGAAAACAGCCAAATATAAATAAGAATATATATGATATATATAAAGGATACACATGCATTAAAACACATATTCAAGCTCATCTGTCTTGTTTAAACCCTGTTTAAATTAGGTTTACTTACTAGGTATATGCGAGAGTCTACCTATCTCATAAGTCCTTTAGAAGAAACCCTACACCTTCTCCTTGGGACCTTTTCCAAGGTAGTTTTTTGTTTTTTGTTTTTTGTTTTGAGAAAGGGTCACTCTGTGTATCCCAGGCTGGCCTTGAACTCACTATGTAACCCAGAGTGGCCTTCAACTCGCAGCAGTCCTCCTGCCTCAGCCTTCCAAGTACTGGGATTACAAGTGCGCATCACCACACCAGGTATTGGGATCTGTTATGGTTGATACATTGTGTTAACTTGAGGAGTCTAGAAGCTTAGCTAAGTAACTCAGCAATTCTACATCCTGAGATGGACATGCCCTTACACGCTTTATGATGTTGTTCATTGTGTCAACTTTAGGAATTAAAAGTTCAACTAAATGATTCAGCAGAGGGACCAAGGTCCTTACTTTGTGAACATCCTCAACTTGTGAAAGAGTAGGACACAGAAATGGTGTGGGTGTGGGTGTATAGCTGATATACACTATAAGGAGGAAAGTGAGGCTTGCTTCCTCCCCTTAGGCTCTTGCTGCTTTTGCTGTCCTCTGCTGCCTAGAAGTGTTGCCCCTGTGCCATGCCACCCTGCCTTGGAGCCAGTTGTTTACGGACTAAAGCCTCCACAAACTGTGAGCTAAATAAACCTTCCCTTCTTTAATTCTGAGTATCAGATATTTTGTCCTAGCAATGAAAAAAAGTAACTAATACAGAATTTGGTACCAGGGCTGGGCTTGTTGCTGTGCCTATTCCTGAACATGCGGTTCAAGAGCCTTTGAAAATGTCTTGTGGGAAGTGTTTCAAAAGGTTTGGAAATTTTGCCTAAAAGAGATGTGCTGGAATGCCTTTAACTGTTCTATATGAGAGATTCTGGTCAGAGCTCAAAAGACCAAAAGGCTGATAAAAATCCTGCTGGTAAAGACTGGGCTCCAGAGGTTTCTGCTGAGACATACTGCATTGGGTGCTGGACTCCATATGATGTGTATTATGGCTTGGCAGAGAGTTTGTCTGCATTTTACTTGTGTCCAGAGACTTTGCCTGAAACTAAGATTAAGAGTGGCAGACTAATTATCCTGGCAGAAGAAATTTCAAAGCAGTTAAATGTTGAGGCTCTGGCATGGCTATTGTTGGGGGCTTGTAGCCAGGTTTATATTAAAAATCAAGAGCAAAGAGCCCAGCAGGATGATTTAAAATGTTATGAGTGTGGCCAAAAAGGAAGTTCCAGTAAAGCTTTAGAGATGATAGAGCAGAGGAGATCTTGATTGTTAAAGAGAAGCAAAAAAATCAGAAAGACAGTGTGAGGGCATCAAAAAAAGCAACAAGTATCCACTCTTTGCAGGCTCAAAACTGCAAAGGTAAAAGACTTTGCTTAGAGAAGAAAGCTTCAGAGTGCCATATTCCAAAATGGTGATGGCAACCACACCAGGTTCTAAAATGGCAGTAGCATAAAAAATTTGCTCCCTCAAATTAGGTTCAGAGTGCTCAGCAATTCAGGGACTCAATCCCTACAGCCAGAAGAGAAGAAAGCCTGGTTGCTGCTCCACCTGGCAGCAGACCTTGGCATCATCCATAAGGTGGTGGTTTTAGGTGTATGCAAAATGCAAGAGTTCTGAGGTTACAAAGGCTTCCACCTCAATTTCAAAAGGCCTGGGAGATCAAGCAGTGTGCCCCTGAAAGGGCAGTGTATAAAGCCATCCATGCAGTGGAGACCCCAAAGTTTTAAAAAGCCAAAAATGTGAATTGTCTAAGAAATGCTGTAAGGAGGGAGCAAAGCAAGCCTAAGAGAGAAGCCATGAGAGCTGTAACCACCAAAAGTGCCACAGAGATAGGGTCATGCAAAACCTTTGGAGCTCACAATGTGCTACAGATTGCTTCAGACACTAGACATAAAACTACAGGACTTAAAGTTTGCCCTGCTGGATTTTGGACTTGCTTTGGTCCCATTCCTTTGTATTCCCATTTGTAACTTTTAAAATAAAAGTGCTTATTTTGTGTCATTAAATGTTGAGAATTGTTTAATTTTTCATTTATACAAGGGCTTATAACTAAGAGTTTGCCTTACAACTCAGAAGAGACGTGGGACTTGGACTTTTCAGCAATGCTAAAACTGTTAAAACTTTAGCAACTCTTGCAGATGGACTAAATGTCTTTTGCATAAAGGGATGTGCATGAGTCGTTGGGAGGCAAAATATTAGGGTTCTAATATAATATAATGTTGACAGACAATACTTGTTCTTAAAGACTGTTGGGCTATATTTTAATGTTTGAATTGTAAAATGATAAAAGTAATCATCACCCCCAAAAATTTACCTTCTATTCTGGTGAGGAAATTAGTGCATTTACCTTTGTACACAGGATAGTTATAAAAAATACCTCTGGATGTCAAGTTGACAAGGGGTGGATTGTTGTGGTTCATACATTGTGTCAACTTGAGGAATCTAAAAACTTAACTAAGTAACTCAGCAATTCTACATCCTGAAGTGAAAAGAACATGCCCTTACTGATCCAGTATGTTGCTCATCGTGTCAACTTTAGAAGTTAAAAGTTCAACTAAAAGATTCAACAGGGGGCGAGGGTCCTTACTTTGTGAATGTCCTCAGCTTGTGAAAGAGGGCAGAGATGGTGTGGGTGTGGGTGGATAGCCGATGTACAATACAAGGAGGAAAATGAGGCTTGCTTCCTCCTGTGTTGTTGCTGCTTTTGCTGTCTTCTGCTTCCTTAAAATGCTGCCCTGTGCCATGCCACCCTGCCTTAGAGCCAGCTGATTATGACTAAAGCTTCCACAAAGTGTGAGCTAAGTAAACCTCCCCTTCCTTAATTTAGGTATCAGATATTTTGTCCCAGCAATTTAAAAAAGAAAAAGTAACTAAGACAAGATCTTTTCTTACTTAGAAACTAAACCACACTTCATTCATTCCTTACTAACAACAATGAAATTTTTCAGACTTTTATTATAGCTTCCATTTTTATAGGTGAACTTTTGCCTGCAATTTTTTTCCCACTGACTAAAACATTATCAGGTATGCAAAGAAGCAAGAAAATTGATCCATTACAAGAATTAAAAAAATGTTGAAATTGATCCATACATGACCAATGTGATCGAATTCATGTTCATGAACAAAGACATTAAGATGGTTTTTATCAAAATAAAATAAGCAACATTATATTGATGAATTTAACAACTCAGATAAAATGAAGACTGTCCTTAAAAAATATAAATCACCAGATCTCAAAAGGAAATAGATACACTGGCAGTGTAGGTAAACACCTTATGAGGAGTTGGAGAAAATTAAGCTGCACACCTGTAGGAGATGGTAACATTAGC